ATGAAGTTGGCTTGGGCTGAGGCAGATCTCCAGCCTCCCTGAGGATGAATAGAAGAGTTTCTGATTTGTGGATTCAAATATTCCTCAATATCAAGACTTAGAAGTCACCATAGGGAAGTGTGCTCAGTCTCATGTCCAAATTTCTTCTCTGACTTGGTGCTTTCAGTGGGAAAACCAGCATTTTGGTTCATATGTGACTTCTGAGTTTATTTCTCAATGCACTTAGCATGGTCAGTGGAGATTTAGAATATCCTCATACTGTTTGAGATACACCTTTGTAAAGGGGAGGCACCATTTTCCCCTGCCCCCTCTTACATGCAGCCACCTTGGATTACAAGTCCTGAGCGGGGGAGCTATGAGAACTGGGGTGGAGCTGAGCTGCCTATATACATGAAAGACAGGTGGGACCACTCTTGCATCCTGGTACTGCTGCGAAGGAGACTTGGAGGAGACAAATGGAAAAGAGACGTGTAGAGACACTTGGAAGTGATACTTGGAAGAGGCATGTAGCTGAGAGACAGGTGAGTCAGCTGCTCTCCTGGTCCTTGCTAGAGACAATGCAGTCTTTGTTCTGACTTCATGGTGGACTATTTGGTACACTTTGAATTCTGAATCGCTTCTTTGGTCCAAGCTTTTTGGGGCCTGCCTAACAATTTTCTTGTGGTCCCCCACCGGTAGGTGCCTTAGACTTGGGTCAAGACTTCAGGCTACAGTGGCCCCTCTTTGGGCACCCCTATGAATTGCTGGGTAATTTGGGGGATTTTATTGGGAAACTATTAGTAAGACTACCCTTCTTTTCTCTCTACACACAAATTCTTTTAAAAGTCTTTCAAACTAAGAGTTTGCTTCCTTTGTCTTTGTGTTGTGTATGGCCAGACCTATTTTAGAGTGTGTACCCCTTAATAATTTGGGGTCCCTGGGTGGCCCTCAGTCAAGCTCTAATAATGCTAGTTAATTATTTTTTGTTGCCTAAATTTCCCATTGATTGAATGTCCTGAATTTAATTTCAGTTTTACGCCCAAGGGGAATTCAAGTGGGTAAGGACTTGTGTGTGTGAATTGATTTATTGATGTGTATGCATCCTGGGTACTGAATAGCTCATCTACCAACTGTTGAATTATTTTTTCCAATAGTCCGACCAACTAGACTACATCAATAAGCTTTGCTTTAATTTTAGTTCTGAATCTAAAAAGTCCTGGGTGTTTTCTGTAGAAAATCCTTGTAACTCCATATCATTGTTCCAGAGTAATTTCAAGAATAACAGGAATCTCTGCAGTGCCAAGAATGTCATCTGAAGCTATGATTGGGATGATTACAGAGACTTTGCTTTCTTTCTGTTGTTTATGTCAACCAAGGCTGCATCTTACAAGCAGTCCTGTAAAAGACAGTGTTTTGTAATACAAGACCATCTTTGCAGCTTCTTATTTTATGATTTTTCTGTTTCTAGTGCTTTCAGACCATTTTTTTGGAATTCTGACTAGATTGGCGAATCTTTACTTTAGAAAATTCTGCCACCTCTGTGATGGCACTGGAGCAAAGCCATGATTCTGCCTTCTTCATATTGCTGCTCATAAATGCCCTTGCCATCTGACAGATGCGCTGGCTCTGGATGACTTCATACTGTGGCTAACTATTGGGTTTACAGATCTGGACTAATAAAAGCTCAAATAAAATGATGTCAATTCAAGACTCATTTCCTTCCCTGCTCAAGTGTGATGGGGGGGTATAATTAAAAAAAATATATATAAACTAGGATTGTTTTGTTTGATTCTTGCTTTAAAGAATCCTCTGAAATAGACATCCAGCTATACTACCAGAAAATGTTAAGGATGATGTCATTTCACACATAAACTATACCTTTGAGGTTTCTTTCCTTTTTCCTTAGAATTTTTTTCAGCCATCCTTTGCATAACAATATGAAATTACTCTGACTATTCAAGAGTAAAAAATTCCATGTAAAGTATAGCTATTGTGAACATACTGGAAGACTTTCTGGGAACATGACCCGCCCTCCCCGCCAACCCCCCCTTTCTGGCAGACAGGAGAGCAAGGCCGTCTGCATAGGTGTGACTACAGCTACTCAAAATCTGATGTTTTGTGGTAAGGCCAGTTTTTTTCACACCCACTAATATCCAAGGAGTCTGATGAAGATTTAACAATGTCCATCCAGGCTTTGCATGTCCACAGTGCATTCTTTTTTTTTTTTTTTTTAAATTTATTTATTTATTTATACAAGCACTGGGTACAGTCAGAAGCGCAGGAGGGTGAGAGAATTCACCAGAGCCAGAGCGGGGAGCAGAACAGGCAGACTGACGAAATACACTGCTGAGGGGAGCAGTGGGCGGCAGGAGAGGTCTGCATGCCATGTGGGACCCTCCTCCAGTGGCTGGGGAGCAGCCGGGGATCGAACCGGCGCTGCAGAGGCTGCGGGCAGCTTCGCAACCCAGCGCTCAACCGCTGCGCCACCAGGGAAGCCCCCACAGTGCATTCTTTAGAAAGGAAGAGATTAAATCCTGCATTGCCTTCCTGTGCTCATAGACAGCATCAACATATCTCTAGGTCTCCTTAGAACTAGAAGCCCCTTAGCCTGCCCGAATAGCTACACTTTTTAATGCCAACGACTCACTGTTCTTAGCTCTATAAGCTAAAATCAAACTTGTGTATGTTGGAATGATTTTTTTCAGATTAAAATCTGTCCGATTTCCTCCTGGGTTTGAATGATCACTTTGATGACCTAATGAATGATTTAACTCACAGAAATTTAATTTCCAGTTAACATTATATAAAATTGAAAATAAAGATCAAAAGGGAAGAAATTAAAATGTTCCTATTAATAACTAGATTTTATCCAGAATTTTCCTATACACAGATACAGACACTCTTTAAAGATGGGCTAAGGACTGAAAAATATTTTAGTAATCTACTTTGTTCTGTTAACATTTAATGAACATCTTATGGTGCCAATACATGTCTATTCTCATAACTTTTAGTGACACTGTTTATATTCTATTGGATGAATATTTCACAACTCATTTACCAATATTCTATTATCAAACACTTGGGCTATTTCCCAACCTTCCATATTATAATCTTTGCTGCAAGACTCTTTTTGTAATTAAATCTTTGCACAAGCTATTCATTATTTTCTTGGAACAAATTCTTTGAATTAGAGACTTTGTGATTTTTTTTATCTTAGACAAAAACAGAGAAGAAATGTCTTGGCTACAGCAAGTAGGATTTGGAATGAGGGATAACTTCTAGCTGCTTTTGGGTACCTTCGCGGCTAAGGTACTGTTCCACTCTTGGTCCTTAGAAGGGAACAAATACTACAATGATGACCAGCTGTGTGGTTGTCTGTGAAAAAAAAAAAAAAAAAAAAAAAAATCATCTTTAAAATAGTTGTTGGCAACCAGGTAACCTGTAGGACTGAGTAGCGTCACCGGCACCAGATTATACAGAAATGGTTCTCAACTGAGGAAAATTCTGACATTGTTGCTCCTCCTCAAGGACAGAGTCTGGAGATACCAGTGATGGTCATGACCAGAGGGAGGAGGACCTGGAACCTAGCGGGTAGAGACCAGAGATACTGCTACACAGCCTGCAATGCACAGGACAGAAACACACAACAAAGGCTGGTCCAGTCCCAAATGTCACTATTGCAGAGTAACAGAGACCCTGAGGTAGAACAGAAAGGAAATACACGTATCTGTCATTCAGATGACCAGCATACATTTCTCCTACGTATTTGGTCTCAATCTACCTTTCCTGGATCACAGTTTCTCTTAGAATTTCTTAAGTGCTGTGAATGATGAAGTTGTCTCTTTGTGTTAAGGAAAGCAACTTTTGGGAACCCCCTGAGGATGTTTGCCAGGGAATAGACAATTTTCCGTCCCTACTCCCACAGACCTCCAGGGAGGAGAGAGGGGAGAGGTGGAGTTCATGGCCAATGCCAGTGATGAAGCCATTCATGCCTATGTAATGAAACCTCTCTATAAACCTAATGGGAGGGGACTTCAGAGAGCTTCAGGGTTGGAGGACACAAGGAGATTTGGGGTGAATGGAACACTTGGAGAGGATGTGGGATTTTTCCTCATACCTTGCCCTGGGCATCTTTTTCATCTGGCTGTTGATTCCTATTCTGTAGTAACCTTTCTTTCTTCTTTTTAAAGATTTATTTATTTATACAAGAACCGGGGTACAGGCCAGATGTGTGGGAGGGTGAGAGGATCCACCAGAGACAGAGTGGGGAACAGAACAGGCAGACTGATGAAATACACTGCTGAGGGGAGCAGCAGGTGAGACAGGAGAGGTCTGCCCTGCTGTGTGGGATACTTGCCGACCGGCTGGCATCGAACCCGCGCTGCAGAGGCTGTGGACAGCTTCACAGTGTGGCGCTCAACCGCCTGCGCCACCAGGGAGGCCCTGTAGCAACCTTTCTAATAAATTGGGCATCTAGGGAGTAATGGGCTTCCTGAGTTCTGTGTGTCATTCTAGCAAATTAATTGAACCTGAGGTGGGTGTCCTGGGAACCTGACTCGTAGCTAGTCAGAAGCACAGATAATCACCTGGGGCTTATGACAGGTGCCTACAGTCTGAGGAGGTATAGCCAGTTGCCTCCCCTCTGAGGACAGTTCTTCCACTCAGCCCTCCCTGGTGCCATCCTGCTGTGATGTGGGCACAGTTTTGTGTTAGCCTCCCTCTTTCATTTTTGTTTGCTTTGCCCTTTTCTTCTCATGTGCTCTGACAGGTGATTTATGTATTTCATCTGTCAGAAGGGGCTTTATATTCCCTGAAACAAAATGGTAGAAGGTCAATAAAAATATTTCTTAATACATATTCATTGCATGGCAGCCCTTAGAATGATTGGAACGAGGCTTGGAATTTTTTAAACCAAATTTGTGTTACTTTTTCCTTTACACAAATATAAATAAATGTGGATAAATTGTATCTGTCATTCTTTTCAGAATAAAAGACACCTGCGCTTGCTTAAGAGTTTATCCTTTTAATACCAAAATAGCCTTTCCTTTCCCATTTTAACACTCTGATCCCATCAGTGACATTAAAAATAAAATTTATTGCTGGGTTTACAACCAGCTAAAGAAACTTCAGTTTCAAAAGCTATTCAAAATAGACTTCATCACGAAAGAAACACTTAAAAGTAGACAATGCCAAGAAATAAATGCATTAATGGAAGACCATAAGAAGAAAATCGAATTCACAAAACAGTCTTGTGGCCATGTCTGCAATAACGTCTTCATTTCCAGTTCCTCCAGCAAATCCCATTGTGTCCAAAGGGCCCATATTTTCATGTTACCCAGATGAGCTTCTTCTGTTTATATTTTTTACACTTGGTAGCATGGAATTCCAGGTTGAAGCTGTTGTCTAGAAGCAAGTGACTATCTCAAACCACCCTTTTTATTTACTCTTCTTTGTCTAATTGGCATCATCCTTGGTCTCCCAGACTCCTGTCCATTAAAAAACAGTTTTGAAATGAATGAGCAAAGAGAGGATTGCATGGCAGGAGCATTAGGAGACACTAAGAGGGAGAGACAGCAAAGGAATACTACTACTACTGTTAAAGGAGAGGAAGACCAGAGAATTGAGGGTGAGATTTACTGGAGAATAAGATGTTGACACTGCTGAGAGTGGGAGCTGTGGGAGTTGACTGGAACATCAATTTGCTCAGGATTCTGGTCTGTGTCTGGTCGCTCATTCCACCCATCAGCTCACTCATATGTAAAGGACATCTACTCTGCTGTATCTGAATTCTATACTTAGGAAACCTACAAGGCACTATGTCTGGCTATAATAGAGCGGGTCTGTTATTTGTCAGGAAGCCATGAGGACAACTCATTGTCCTGAGAAATCAGCCCCTTCAAAGGCTTGGGAGAATGACTTACTGGTTGGTCCTAGTAATTTATGATTCTTCATTTCCATTGCCCCTTCCAGGCTGCCTTTATCTCTACATTTTTCACACCTCTGCATTGCTTATACCAAGGGTGGTTTTTTTAAATTTTTATTTTTTTTTATAGAGGCATGTTTTTATTTGTTTGTTTGTTTGTTTGTTTGTTTATACATGCACTGGGTAGAGTCAGAAGCGCGGGAGGGTGAGAGAATTCACCAGAGCCAGAGCGGGGAGCAGAGCAGGCAGAAGGACCGAGGTACACTGCTGAGGGGAGCAGCGGGCGGCAGGAGAGGTCTGCACGCCATGTGGGACCCTCCTCCGGTGGCCGGGGAGCAGCCGGGGATCGAACCGGCGCCGCAGAGGCTGAGGGCAGCTTTGCAACCCAGCGCTCAACCGCTGCGCCACCGGGGAGGCCCACCAAGGGTGTTTTGAGGAATGGGAGGGGAGAATAAAGCCACTGAATTCCTTGTTTGGTGTCTTCCCTCTCACCTACCTAAACACAGAGGTCTTAGCATGCCTAGTGCAAAACCTCCTCTGGTCTCCGCTTTCAGAAATAACAGGTCCCAAGTGCCTCCAGTATTGAACCAATCTATTCTGATGCTTGTCTACATTAAGGTAGGAATTTCACCTTAACTTATTATTAAATCTGACCCAGCCTCATAAGGTCTGGAGCAGGTAAGCTCATTAAAAAATTGTGGAGTGAATATTTGCAAGCAGGAAACAAGGACTAAGAAAACAAGAGAAATTATCACTTTACTTACTTTAGCTTGCTTAAAATGACCCTACATCTCTTACCTTTGGTTTATGACTTACTAGAGCCTTTTGAGAATTGTCAAAGAGGGGATGTTATGATTCTCTTAAATAACAGACAAAACATGTAATTTGATGGAGATTTAATGAGCCAATATTATTGCCAGCTGGTTTCATCACTCAGGGAATTTAATAGAAAATTTGTTAACATTGTCTTTAATTTGTTTAAATATTTATGAAGATCGCTTTCAAGAGAATTCATATCTGGGGTGATCGGTTTATGTAATTTATTTCAGCATCATTTCAACTGGTTCATCTTGTTTTAATGGCTTCTGCTAGAACTGTCTTTTAATGCTCTGGCATCTGGGTGGGAATCTTTTTGGATCTTGTTACTGCATGTTCTGCCTACCAGGGCCCCAGAGTAAGTCAAAGCGGCTGCCACAGGTTCTCGGAGCATCCAGGTCTGACAATCACAGCTCGTCGTCCTCTGAGATGGAATCTAGATAGTCTGTGTCGACATAGAGGAGAAATCCAGAGAACAGACTGTCTGCCCAACCTGGGTCTGAGAAGAGGCCGTTCTGGTCCGTGAAGAAGATCTCCAGCCAGACCTCGTCTTCTGGCTGCAGGTAGATGACTGTGGACCCTGAAGCCACGTCGTGGTTCCCGGTGTTGGCATCAAAGGTCTTTATCCGGTACTGCCCGTTGTGCACCAGCCCGATGGCCAGGTGCTTGTTGGCCAACGTGATATCATAAGAAAAGTAATAGATGCCTGGGAAAGCGCAGATGAACTTCCCTGTTGCAGGGTTGTAATGCTCCCCTTCGTTGAAGAGGACCTTGTTAAATATGATTGGGAGCCGCTCTTCTGGGTAGCTGGTTGTGATGCCTACCGAAAAGGCAGATTTGAGCACGATGCTGCCACATCTACAAACTCCGGGCGGCCCCGGGTCCCCAAGCTCTCCCCTGTCTCCCTTTGGCCCAGGGGCTCCAGCTGGACCTACTTCTCCTTTTTCTCCTTCTGGTCCTATGGGTCCTTTCTTCCCAGTCTCTCCTTGGTCCCCTTTCTCTCCAGCGAGGCCCAGGGGTCCAGTCTTACCTCTCAAACCTTCAAAAAGAGTTTAGAGTTTAATTAATACTTTCTCTAATTGTAGAGTCACAAAGGGCCGGCCACCCGGTCCCAGCACACTCTAAATGTGTGTTTTCGGTCCATTTCCAACAGTGTCCTATGAGATCATGTGTTTTTTAGAACATTATTGATGCACTGAGATGGAGAGAGAAACTTCTCATCAGAAATTTCAAGAACATTTTCTGGAGTATGTGAGAAATCATTTAAATCATGACTAGTTGAAAATAATTTACTATCATTTTGATGACTGATCACCTGCCACCAAATTAAGCATGGATTCTACAGAAGGAATTCAGTGGGTTTGACAATGTCAGTGCTCAGGTGAGACATGGGCACAGTGAGAAACAGATTTCTGAGCCTATTTAGTTTCATGTCCTGTTTTGCATCTATTAGTGCTACTAATAACAGAATTGACCAAAATTAGATCCATTCATATTTATGATCTACCAGGGATGGCACTTACATGCATCGTTTTATTTAAGTCTGGAATAATACTGGCTAGCAATGGGTGCATAAGGAGCCTGCTGAGTGAACTGAACAGATGAGTTGGTGAGTGAAAGATTGGAGGAATGAATATGGCAGTAGAGCTGACCTTTTAAAATCATTGGTAGCAACGAATTTTAAAAATCATAGCAATGCTGCACATTTGACTTAATCTGAATCCATATCCAGAGAGGAATCTTTAACTAGAACCATTCCATGAAACAGATAACCCATTTCTAGTTTCTAATATGGCTTTGGATATTTCTGAACTTGACTATGACCATGTTTGCAGCTTACAATGTACGATGTAATAACAGCCAACATGTCCTGAGAGCTTGATGCGTGGAAGCTGTTCTGTTGAGTGATTTACATGTTTCATTGTGCTTAATCTTCACTACTGCCCTGACTAACCCCAATTCATAAATGAAGAAATGGTGGTTCCAAGAGGCCAATTTTGCCCAAGGATACTAAATAATTGAAGGACCAAGATTTGAGCAGAAGTCCTTCTGACTCCAATGCTTGTTTGTGTAAACTTGACATTATTGCTTCCAGACACAGCAAACCAGAAGGGCTGGGAACATACATCTACAATCCTGGTGATATTACACGATTCATGGTCATGACCCAGCAGTCGACTGTGTTCATAGATGTTACAATAAAGCAGCCTTTGGAAGATAGTATTTAAGTTCCAAATTAAAAGCTCTTTGTCTTGAGGGAAGGAAGCCCAATGGCTTATGGTGGGGGACGATGAGCGATTTGGTGGTGGGTGGACTATGGTGGTGATAACTGATGGGGGGGATCCTAATGCTATCATAGTTAAAAAATAAATTTATTTAAAAAAGTTTTTTATCTTGAATAATGTTTGTAGATTTGGTGGCTGATTTGTCAAACATTTTCTGCACGATATACTCAGAAACAAATTATTATCCAATAATTTGGATGGATTATGATATTGTCCCATGGAGCAGCAGCGAATCAGGTGCCATGACCAGATGGAGACATGCTTCCTGGACCTTTTGATTTTTTCCTTCCTACCCTTTGTCCCAGCGTTTGCCCTCAGAAACTTATTTTCAAGACTGATTTCCAATCACTGGAGTTAACACAGCCTCAGCCTCTCTAGAACTTCAATCTGATTGACTCTGAAGGATGCCAGAATCTGGCAAACTTTTTGGGCCAACTTATTTAAGGGGGGAAAAAAGTGAAAATTACTGAGGACTGGGGACAATTGGGCAGCTGGGGAGAGGGAGCTGGAGAGAGCTAACATCTCATTTGGAAACACAGAAGAGAGTCCTCACTGTAGCTCTGCCCCAGACGCGAGTGCGGGGGGCACCTGTTTGTGGCTTCCTGATTTCTGCCTTGCATAGTGTGTCCATCTGTCTGTCTCTCCACCATGGCCTGGAACAACTTCCCCAGCCCTGGGGTCGGGGTGGCAGGGTTTGACTCTGGTTCCACCTGCCATGAAGGGTCACTTTCATCTTCCCTCATTCGCTTAGTCATGGTGTTGCCCCGTGCTCCTGTCTATACCATGGCGTCCGTGTATGAGACCCGTCATTTCAATGAAGTGAAGATGCAGGGAGAGTGGACCAGTAGCTGAAGCCCAGTAAGAGCTCAGTCCTTGTCATCAATGGAGGTGAGGCAGGGAAGGGAGTTAGGAGTAATTCTCAGGAGAAAAAAACAACAAAGAAAGGGAACAAAGATGGGGGTAGTGGAGGGGTGTTTGAGAGAGCTTCATTTTTCATACCTGCAGCCCCCTTTTCGCCTTTTTCTCCTTTCCTGCCATCTCTACCATCTCGTCCCGGAAGGCCGATCCGACCGTGGGGACCCGGAGAACCATTTGCTCCAGGGGGCCCTGGAGGCCCAGGTAAGCCTGGGATGCTACAGATGTATCTTGGGGAGTAGCTCTCGCCTTTGAATTGATTCCCCCGTGGGGGTTGTCCACTTGCACAAATGGCAAAGCTGGTAACATAGAGCAAGACAAACATCTTTGGCTCTGAAAGAGAAACACATGGATACAAGCGCTCAGCTGGGGGGTTGGCATATTTGCACGTGAGAACAGACGTTGGCAACAGTTCACATCTCATGCACGTAAACCTGCAAAACCTCATGAGGCATTGAAAATCATTAGCCCATTATTGACAGCTGTCTCAGTGCCCAACCAGCGGGCTGGTGGAGATGGCGGGTTGAATGTCGCACTGTGGAGCTGTCCGCAGCCTCTGCAGTGCAGGTCCCGACCGGCCGGCGAGGGTCCCACATGGTGCGGCAGACCTCTCCTGTCTTGCCCGCTGCTCCCCTCAGCAGTGTATTTATCAGTCTGCCTGTTCTGTTCCCCGCTCTGTCTCTGGTGAATCCTCCCACCCTTCTGTGCATCTGGCCTGTACCCTGGTTCTTGTATATTAAAAAAAAAAATGAATAAAATCTTTAAAAAAAATAAAAAATATCCCCAAATAAGTCACTTTATAGCTTTTATTTTTTTCAGGAATCCAAGATGGGCTTTAAAAACAAAGTTTTCTATTGACAAAAGTAGTGCATTTTTAAAAGGAAATTAGAGCTGCAAATGAATATGATAAATGTCAACATGAGGTAGTTTTTCTATGCATTTTGATAGACATCCTTCCAGTCTTTTTTCCTCCCAGGGCATTCCTGTAATTCTTGCACTTTTTCACTTTATCCTGAGCACCTTCCCATATTGAAACCCACTTAAATTGCATTAAAAAAGGCCCCATTTGTCTCTACTATCCTTTTTGCACCTGATTCGCTATTATACACATTTATTTCCAGTTTTGTCAATAGAAACATCATACGTGACATCTTGCAGCTCACCCTTGCTTGTGCTCATATTCATTTCTTCAGAATTTATGGGCTTTTGAAAGCAGGAGGAAGGAGGTGGCATTTTCAGGAAACCGTGCTTTTTACTTGATAATCTTGATAATCGTGTGTAATGCCAATTAGTGTTAATTTGATACAGTGCCTACCCTGAGGGGGGTCTCGAACTTTAATTTAAAATCTGCAGGACGGGATGCCATGGTATCCATTAAGTCGTTAGCACTGGACTCCGTGAGCAGCTGAGTGGGAGGAAGCCTTGCCTGGTGCCATCGCTCCACGCCGGGTGGCCACAGGTCTTTCAGCCACCAGCCAAGAGCCCTCGGTTCCCCCCACAAAGCTGAGTTTAATGGATCGTTTTTAGCAGGACTTTTGGCTGGAGACCCTTGATTTTCTGAGTCCTTAGTATTAGCAGCTTCTCGAATGGAAGAATGTGTGCATGTGGCTTCAGGGGGCTATTTTGCAGGGGGCTTAAATGAGAAATCTGTGCGATGCTGGAGGTGGATGCCGGGGGCTGCTTACACAAAGGGAGGGACCATAGCACATGGGGGAAACAATCCGAAAGGGATTTTTTTTTTTTTTGACAGGCACATTAGAAAATGAAACAGGTACATCATGCAACACGTTGGAATTAGACGCAGAAATTTGCCAGCACACTAGAAGGGCAAGCTGAGGAAAACATAGTGTGCTCATGGGGGTTCGAAATAAGTCTAATTTCTAGAAATCACATCTGTGAGGGGCTAAAGCAGTTATGCAAATATAGGTTCTGTTCCTTGAGCAAATCTGTGTGTTACCAGTACCATCTCCCCTGTCCCAACACCCCATCCCCCCAAATCAAGGAGAACATTTTTGCTATGCTCTGCTTGTTTGACTGGTAACACAACATAAACTCAGAATCGTTTATTCTACTGCTCAAGGGGGATTAAGACACTTTCTGAAACGTCCAGTGGGTCTGATTAAGATACCAACCCTTGAAAAGGCCCCCCAGATGAAAGGAGACTGCAAGAGCTTGTACAGATGTGCGTGCATATAATCTAACTTTAGAACATTTTCAAAGCTGGGAAAGAGACTTCATAGACATTAGCAGTCACTGCCCATACAAAATGCTTTGAAGGATTGCATGGAATTATGCAAATGGATGTAAAATATGTGGTAAGATGTATTCCCCCCGACCACTGTGTTCCTTTGTGTTGGAAAATCAAAACTCTGGACATATTGTGAATCTTGATCAGATCTGGCTTGGATGTTTATTGTAAAGGATTTTTCTATCCCATTTTCCTGTAGGGATTATAAAACAACAGGTTTTCAGTTTTTAAAAGACACATCTCTTTATTTATTATAAATATTAATTTGCCAATTGTATCCATGTCTATTAGCTCTGGCGATGCCTTTTCATACCTGCTTGCGTGCACATGTCTCACTTACCCACACAGACTCCAGGGCCAGCGCCCTATCCCTGCCCTCCCCCTACTCCCTGTTCTTCCCACCCCCCAGCCCCTCTAGTAACCAGCATATTTTTCAGAGTCCAGAAATTATTTTTGCTGTGCTTGCCAATATGTGCTCTTTGGTTATTTAAGTTCCACTAATAAGTGAAACCATCCGGTATGTGTCTTTTACTTTTGACTTATTTCACTTAGCATAATCCCCTCAAGAGCCATCGATTTTATCCGAGAAGGCACAATTTCATCTTTTTTAAATATTGTAGCAGTATTTCACTGCATATATATCCCACAGTTTCTTTATCTAGGCATCTGCTGATGGGCACACAGGTGACTCCATGGCTGGGCTATGGTGGATACTGCTGCTATGAACATAGGAAATGCATAAATCTTCACATGTTAGCGTTTTAAAAGATATTTAAAAAGTAACTTCATGGTCCTGTAGCTTTCAGAATCTTCATGTTAAGGTATATTTTGAATCTGAACAGCAGGAATATAGTATTCAGTGTTTTGTAAAATTTTTTGAGTCTTGGATGCTTTGTTCTTGTTCTGCTGGATGGGAAACACTTGAAGATTAAACTGTTAGAAAATCCTTCCGTAGATTGAGATCTCTTTGTAAATAGCTTATTTTTTTCTTTGTTAAAAATAAAATAAACCCATGCATGAACTGTCAACTAACATTTGATGAGAGAGCCAAGAATATTCAGTGGGGAAATGATAGTCTCTTCAATGAACAGTGTTAGGAAAACTGGACGGTCACACGCAAAAGAAATGAAACTGACTCTTATCTGACACCACTCAAAAACCAGAACTCTAAGTGGATCAAAGGCTTAAATGCCAGACATAAAACCATCAAACCTCTAGGAGAAGACACAAAGGCGAGGCTCCTTGACATTGACCTTGGCAACTGTCTTTTTTTGATATGACACCAAAAGCAAAAATAAACAGGCAAGACCTGCAACCTAAACGCTTCTGCAAAGAGAAAGAAATGATGAAGGAATTGAAAAGGCAGCCTATGAAATGGGAGGATATATTTGAAAACAGTTTATCTGATAAAGGGCTAATGTCCAAAATATATAAGGAAATCACACAACTCAACAGCAAGAACAAATCATTTCATTGAAAATGGGCAAAGGATTTGAATAGACATCTTTACAATGATGACATGGCAATATTTTACAGGTACATATCTGTCATCTACCTGAGTATAAACCAACAAAAGTGAGAAGAACTGAAACATATATCTGTACACACACGTTCATAGCAGCTTTTGCATAACAGCCAAAGGTAGAAGCAGTCCAAGTGTCCATCAATGAATGAATAAACAAAAAAGGCTAAATACATGCCTACAATAAAATATGATTTGACCTTAAAAGCAGGGAAATTTTGACACCTAATGCAAAACCCTCGAATCTTGAAAACTGAAAACTGAGTGAAATAAGTTGTTCCCAAAAGGACAAATATTGTATGATTTACTTGTATGACATGTCCAGAATAGTCACAATGGTGACAGGAAGCAGAATGGTGAGTGTTGGGGCTGGAGAGGGGGTGGTATTCAGAGGCACTATCTCATGAAGACGGAGTATCATTTGGGGAAGACGGAAGGTTCTGGAAACGGACGGTGTAATGGTTATACAGCTATGTGAATGTTCTTGGTGCTGCAGAAGTGGCCACTGGGATGATGACAAATTTTATGTGATGTCTATTTTGCCACAATCAAAAGCACATTCAGTGGAGAAAAAAAAACAACCAAGGTACATTGGGGTGGAGGGCATGAGTGTTATTCTTACGACTGTGCTAAGTGTTTTGAAGACCATTTACTCAATCCTCACACCACTTTTAGGATGTAGGTGCTAGTATCTTCCCTTACAAACAAGAAAATCAAGACCATGGCTCAAATCCACACAGCCCTAAAAACAACACAGGCAGGGAGTGGCCGAGCTCTTTGGTCTCCAAACACTTGAGTCTCCCCCTATCATGTGAAGGGAACCGTAACATGACTTCATGACAAAGGGCTGCACTTGATTATTAATTCAATTTGAAACTGCTTTTCCTGGAAATCGTTAGGAAGAGAATAGGTGGCAAGGGACAGCCAAAATGAGGCATGTCCTTGGCCTGCAGGGCTGGAGATTTCTCCACAGCAGGCTTTGTCCTCCATGGCTGTGCTAGGGCGAGACGGACAGGATGGGGGCCGTGGAGATGCTCCTGTCCCAGTTCCTTTCCTAATGATTCCTCAGCTCTGCTTTGGGGTCTGGTTCCCCTCCTGGGAGTTGCTCCTATTGGGCCTACCTTCCCACCCTCTCCCTGCCCCACTCACCTCACTTGGCCACCCACACCTACTGTGTGATGACTATTTACCTGCCTTTCCTCCACCAGACCGTCAATTCTGTATCACCAACACTTAGGACAAAGACTCTCTACAGTAGCGGCTCAGCAAAGGCTGAACGAAGAGAAATATTTACTCATTGATATTTATTTTTATCAACAGCTCATGATTCATAAAACCTTGGCGGCTTCGGGTAAAATACGACGATGCACAACAGTACTAAACACTGCCATTTGTCAACATTCTCTGGACTACAGAGCAACAGGCTCACGTCATCTTCCCAAAGACTTTCCTGTGGCAGGCTGGATGGGGCGTGATGTCCAGAAAAGCAGGTACCTTGTTTCTCGTCACAAATCTAGCATCTGGCCAGAGATATAAAGCCTGGTCTGTGGCTTCTTCTCACAGAGCCATCTGCTGAATAAGCGCAAAGCAACTGCAGTGAGACAGGCCATTGCAGCTACATTTGCCAACATTCTAAAGAAAGTAGAGTAAACCCCATACCTTGCTTCGAGGTGGTGTGTTGCTGTTGCTCCAGGATTCTAGATCCACAAGAGACTGAGGTTCTTTCACGAGAGCTCAGAGAAAAATTTGCTTTGGTACCGGACAGAAAAGCAGATCCAAGATCTCAGAGCTTTCCAAATAGTTGTGCTAAAAATAATTTTCTCCTTTAGTTCCCCAAGAGGCAGAGGACCTGGAAGTCATTCAGTGGGTGAGGCTCAGTCAGGGGCTGGTTGAAAAGGAGGACTTTGAGATAAAGCCTCAGCACCTGCTTTCCTGGACTCTTGAGCTCAGCAGCACCTCCATCTCTGGATCCTGACCTTTTTTCGGACTTGTTTACTTAGTTTTTCCCCTCTTCGTTTGTTTTCCACTGAGTGGATATTTCAGGACAAAAATTACTCACTCACTGGAAATTCATTGTTAAACACAGAGAAAAGAGTTGCATCCTATTTGAGAGTTTTCAAGGTTTTAGCTTCAGACTCTGGACTTGGGGTTGTATCTTGGAATAACAAAGAGAGGAACCCCATTCTGGGTGGGTCAAGCCCAGTGCATAACAAAGGCCGCGAGCACCGAAGCTGCCTTTGTTTGCAGCTGAATGGAGACGAGATTGGGGTGTTCTCAGAAGCCTGATACGTCTTTGTTCCTAGGAGAACTGGTCAGAATAACTCCAAGGCGGTGTGGTTCTCCAAAGCTGGGGGCTGCTCCTCTTTGATGCCATCAATTTCTTTTTTCCTTCTGATTTCCATCTCCTTAGCAATAGCCAAATGGAATTCATTATGTCATCCGTGGAAGTGACTGAAAAATCTAGTTTTTGCCATACTTTTCCTGCCATTCTTCACAAGCAATTGAGAATGGCGAGTGGCAGAAATATTTGCAAAGTCAGGGAAGTGGACACTGATCACAAATTTGATGGAGACTGGTGGACTCCCCGTCAGATAAGTTTTGTTTTGCCATTCTCCATCTGGTAGAAACGGTCTTTAAATGTCCTGCCCATCCCATCCAAAATCATGAATACCATGATAGGGTAGTAAAAATGAATACTGAGAGTAAAATAAAGACTTCCCCTTTTTTATTTTTGCTAAAGGAGAATAGGATTTTATTTATGTTATTTTTTATAGATTTATTTAATTTATTTAAAATATAAATATTTTATATTTATACATATAAAAACTGCATACAAGAACTGGTGTAGGCCAGAGGTGCGAGCATGAGAGGCTCCACCAGGGACAGAGTGGGGAGCAGAACAGGCAGATCTACTGAAGTACACTGCTGAGGGGAGCAGCGGGTGAGACAGGAGAGGTCTGCTGCACCGTGTGGGTCAGCTCCCTGCCTAGGGAGGCCCAAGGAGATTAGGACTTTAATCAGCTACAGTCCCTGGGTTTGTTCCCTCAAATTCAAAATAAAACAGCTGTCCTTGGTTATTTCTAGCTCTTAAGTTCTTAATATTCTCTAGAACATGCTTGGGCCTGATGAACTGGAACTTAAAAAGTAGGGGCAGACCTTCTAGACAAATACGTAGAGATCCAGGTCATGTGGAGTAGGTACTTATTATTGTTGAGAAAAATCACTTGGGAATTGCACTAGCACTACACATAGAAAGAGGTTCTCATTAGTGGCTCAATGAAAATTTCCTTCTAGTAACTCTTAGCTACTGAGGGGTTGAGATTATTTGCTTAAAGCATCCAGGACCTTCTAGAAAGTAAGTAATGAAGTGTCCAGCTTTTCATGATGCAAATTTAGGAAATCAGTCATGGACCAGGAGTGCACTGGCCCTGAGCTGGCTGTAAAGAAAGGGCACTGTGGACCCCAAAATGGGATTGACTAAAAGGTAAATGGGAATCTCAGCAAAGAGACCTAAAGTGTTTGGGGGTGCAAGTGTTGGTATATAAGACTGGAAGTTTGTCTGCGTTCATTCTACCATAGAACTGTCCTTTGGAGGGGAGGTAATGGCCGCACACATGATAAGGGAATTAAAAGGGTCATTACATAGAAGCTTAATTAAGGGATAATAATGGGGCCAACAAAGCACCCCCTCAAGAGAACAAGCATCTCTTGGACTGCATGTGACCCGTGTTCAACAGTGTCACCATTTGATGCAACTAAAGCCACGGGGAGAGAGGACAGTCAAAGGTTTTGCTTCCTGCTTTCTACTGTCTAGGTTGGAAGTAGCACAGAAAGACTCCCTTTGAAGCAAGCAACCCCCTAGAATTCTTAGATCATTCACGGAGGGAAGGATGGAGACCTGCCTGCTATTAAAAGCAAGTGGGGTCCTAGCGACTAATTGAAAGAAAAAATACGGTGTGACTGCATTTTAAACTTGAACTGGCAAAGTAGGTCAGAGAGAGTAAATGCTTTCATTAGTTCAGTCCTAACCTAACATCACAGAACAGCCCTTTGTTCTAGGAAGGGAGCCCTGATCTGACTTAAAGGAATCTCCTCCCACTCCACTTTTGTCTTCTGAGAGGCTGAACTACAGTGTCAGTCCTTACAAGCTCAATTTCAGGGGTTCCAGCCCTGGAATCTCTTATAGGGGAGTGAGGACTCCTTACTGGGATTTTCTCAATCAGTCTTCTTTGGATAGTATCATCTCTGAAAAGATCTTAGACATAAACGAGTCTGTTAACCTCTAAAAGAGAGATATGTACTCTTATCTTTTGCCATGGCCAAATGTTGGTGCAGTGTCTGGGGTGTTCATACTTCCTGTGGCATTCCCCACTTGCTTAATTTCCCTGTGGTGTCTGATGATAAGGTTTCTTGTATTGTTAAGTGTCACAATCTTTTTTTTTCTGTTCTAGAATATTTGATTTTTTTCTTTATTATTTTCCATCTTAGATAACTTACTATAATCTGTATCTTGTTGGACATCTTCATAGAGGGGACAAAACTTGAAATGATCTGCAGTACTGAGACCTCAGGTGTGGCTAAAACTTATTAGTGCTTATTTCATTCAGTTATTTTCACACTTATTTTAGAGACAGTGATGAAAAGTAATGGCTAGAAAAATATGCTGAAGGGAGTATTGGCTGAGGATAAAAAATAAGATGTCATTTGAACCTGCCACTCACATCAAGCAAGGCTAAGGCCTTATTCTGTCATTTCTGGACAGGTAATTTTTCCCTCTCAGCTGGTGCTTTAAGTTTTTCTGTGGCCTTAATTGACTTTTCAACTGAACTCAGTCCCATCAATGTTCACTAGCATCTAACAGGACCTGGTTAGCTGGCACTGAAAAAAAAAGGTTCAGATTTGTTGCTTTGTCAGTTTCCTTGGTGTAAAGCTTCTCATCATGACTGGTATATAAGCTGTTTTGCTAGATACTGGAATTATTTAACAAAAGAAGGGTCTTTTGTTAAAGAAGAATTCACGATGAGCACTTGAGCACCGACTCCATGGTCATTACCTCTATCAACCCCTCCCATTCTCTCAGGAGGTGAGGAATCCCACCATTGCCTATGGAGGAGGCACCGGGGCTGGCTGACCCGCCATAGTGCCCCCTCATCAGAGACCCCTGGGGGCATCCCTGGCATCAGGAAACCAGGTTCCTGCATCTAAACATTGCAGTGGGGAGGTCATCTGGGTTTCCATAGAGGTTTCATTCCACAGGTTAGGTTGGGTTGGATTAAATCACTGACCCCTGCTCATGGGTTTGACCTCCCAGCTGGGAAGTCGGGGCTGAAAGTCTCAACCGGCCCATCCTTTGGTGCTCCCAAAAGAAAAACACATGTCTACGTCTCTATCCACCTGCTTGTGTGGAGGTATATAGATATACAGGTATCTATATACATAGCTATGTGTTGTATGGGTATGTGTATACGAACATATGAAATAAACAATATGTATGGATTTCTGATCATAAATCACAGCGTCACAGTGGTCTTCGACACTGACTGGCTTCTGGAGGCAAGCATAGAGAGGGAACCCTGGGCATGAGGGTGGCGGTCAGGAAGAGGCCAATGGCTGGGAGGCTGAAAGTCTGTTGGGAACTCTCGACTTGATCCGAAGGGCAAGAAGAGCCAGAGAAGTTGGGAGTGACGAGACGGTGCATGCACATAACCAAGACTTCCCTGGGCTGAGGGATTGGAACAGACACGAAGGAAGGCTCTGACCTCTCCCCTGGGCAAGGAGAGGCAATAAACTATGCAACAAAGAGCTAACCTCACAGAATTTGAACAAAACCAGCCAAAGACTTGATTTGCTCATTTTTTGTTTGGCTGTATATATGTGTACGTGTGCACGCGTGTGTGTGTGTAGAGAGCGCGATAAATTTCCTTCTAATACTTTTTTATTTACAGCTTATAATAAATTTTTTCATGACAATATCTATCTTGTTTCTGCCTCAAAACTTATTTTCTATGCTCCATGTGCCAAGTGATCATCATATAGAATTATTTACATTTTAGTTTAAATGTGGGCTCATGAAAGAAAACTTGTAAAAGGATAGAAAAGGAAAGTGACAGAAGTACTTTGAGTTCCACCGCTCAGAGAACCAAGGTTACATGCCAGTTTGGTTTTGCTGTTTTTTTTTTTTTTTCGTTCTTGCTGCATGTGTGCAGGCTGAAATCTTCTACTCAAGACTGTGAAATCGCTCCTATGCCATTGCTGCTGACTTTTTCTTTAACCTGCTGTTACTTCATAAGCATTTCCCCTCTGTTATTCGTTGGAACCATGAGTGGCCAAACAATATCCATCAAGTAGTTGTACCACAGTTTTTAAAATCTTCTCCTCTATGATTGGACAATTGAATTGTTTCCAGTTTTTTGATTATGAGATTACATTGAAAAATTTTGTGCATAAAGCTTTATCTCTATTTAAGATTATTTCCTTAGAAGAGATTCCCAGAAATGGAACTACTGGGTCAAAAGATTTGGATGTTTCATGACTTTCTTGGTGCACACTGCCTTTCCAAAAGGCGGTGTGGCTTTCCAATGCTCCATCCTGTATGGAAACAAAATCTGGATTCATGGAAACTCATCACTCAGCCTCCCATTCACCCCAAGTCCCTGGCACACAGACAGCCACAGAACCTCTGATTTGGAAGACGCTTTAAAGGTTGGCTAAGCCAGCTTCCACTGACCCTTGGTTGGAGAGGGGTGCTTTGAGCAGGGAGCATCTGAGTGTGTTCCCCAGTGGGACTGACAACTCTACCATCTCTGGGTGACTCCAAATTCCCTACACAGCCTCAGACAGGCCAAGCCCTGTTCATCTGAAATTTCACAAAACCAATACCAGGTCGGCAGGTAGCAGGGGCTCATCCCACCCTGGCAGGACAGACTTGGTGATGAGACACCTGCCCAAGGGGAAGTCATCTCATTGTCCCCCTGGGTAGGCAGCTCGGGGGTATAGCAGAGACAACTCTGTGCAGGGACACACCAGTCACCCTGGTGTGGCCGGGGCTGTGGGCACCAGAGGCCTTGTCACCAGCGTTCCTCTTCCATGGCTCTTTGAAATGTGGGCCTCTCTTACAAGCTTCCCAGGGGTCCCAAGCAGCGGCATCCTCTGACCAGGGAGCCAGAGTCCGCATCCATCTTTCCCACAGCATGGCCTCCTGACCCCTTCCTACCCTGGCCCAGACCTGTGCTCTGCTCATTTGCTTCATTCTGGCCTCTCTTCGCCCTTCAGCCCCTAGAACCTACTGCCACTTTTCCATGTCTGGCTGAAAACCAGCTCTGCCAACTCCAGACCATTTATTCTCTCCCTGGGGTTTGTCCAGGATCCTGGGTGACCACCCACAGGCACATGCAGAGTCAGACAAGCCCTTTCTTGCCTCACACACTCAGCCTCCCTCTTGTGTTTGATGACTGAGGGTCGTTGTCCCTTTTGACTTCAAGATCTTTCTGTTTCCTCACTCGGGTCAAGCCCACACTCATTGAAAACATCTTAGTTAGTCTTCCTCTGGGGCTCCAGGCATTGGCCAGCACCGCTGAGCAGGCTGACTGGCCGGCGGAACTGCAGCGTGCGTGCTGCGAAGGCCCCAGAACTGCCACGGGCGGCATTGATCTTCACGTGTATTCACCAAGAGCCTGACACTGTGCAAAAGAAATGGTGCAAACCCAAGCTTGCACTTTTAGGATTTAATGTGGAAAAAATTAAACACGTAGGTGAAGCTGAATGTGCAATGATGTTGATCCAGTATAAGGACTTTTTTGCATCATAAATGATTAGTTCTAAATTACAGCTTGGTGAAGTCAAGGAAACATCAACAAGAAGACGAACGGAAGTCATTAAAAGCTGTGTTCTCTGAGAGCACTTAGTGACAATGGCAAGGTCTCCAACATGCTGCTGGAGAGAAGACGAGGCTGCCAGGGGTGTCACTGGCTTTGGAACGTTCATTTTTGTTAAAAAGATGCAAAGCCTCAGCACCGAATGCTAAGGTGACTCAGGCCTTGTGGAGGGGTTAAAGGGCAATTTATTTTTTCCATCAATACTTTCGTTTCCATTGTGTTCTCCAATTTTCCATGAGGGGTAAGTTGTATGTTTCTTCTGGTTATAAAAAAAGTAAACAAATGGTACATTAAAAAGACTCTCTCTACCCACCCAATGGACACCATCCCATGTACGTGAAAAAACGTTCCTTTTCTCAAGGAAATAAAATGTTAACAATATAAAAGATTATTTATGGATATTTATCTCAGTTTATTTTCTCTCCCCCCGCCCCTTTTGTTTCTTTCATATACAATTTTCATTCCTTCTTTTCCTGGCTCCAGGTTTAACTATTTGGTTAAAATTCCCAAACCCTCAGGCCTCCCCTGGTGGTGCAGGGGTTGAGTGCTGGGCTGCAAAGCTACCCGCAGCCTCTGCACTGCCAGTTTGATCCCCGGCCACCGGCGAGGGTCCCGTCTGGTACGACAGGCGTCTCCTGCCGCCCGCTGCTCCCCTCAGCAGTGTACTTCGGTCCTTCTGCCTGCTCTGCTCCCCGCTCTGGCTCTGGTGAATTCTCTCACCCTCCCGCGCTTCTGACTGTACCCAGTGCTTGTATAAATAAACAAATAAATCTTTTACAAAAAAAAAATTCCCAATCCCCTTCTATACTTTCTCATTGAGGATTTGAAAGCAAAGAGGCCTGGGGGGATGGCCAGGATTTGTGTTTGTTTTGTGAAAAGATATGTGTTTGTTCAGTTAGGCAAGTGTGAAACAAATGCTTTCAGCGACTCCATTAATCTGTGGCCTGGGCGAGGCTAGGGTGCTCCACTCAGGCTGATGGTGTTTGGTTTCAAAAACATGTTTACTTTCAGGACATTGGCCCCTGTTCTCCGTTGACTAGGAGCGAATCTGGAGGATGGAAGGCATCTTGAATTTTATCCCAAACCTAGTTTGTTTTTTAATCATCAACTGGCACTCTGATGGTTACGGCTCACACATTTTGTGAGTTCATGAAAACATTTATTGTAAGAGAAAAAGCCCTAATGGGGACATACTAACACCAGAATGTCCAATGCTGTGCTTTGCCAAAATATTCCTGGTAGAGGATTTTAGAGAGAGACTTACACGAGTTACTGCTTAACACACCAAGAACGTACAGAGGCATCTCTGCTTAGGTCACAGAATCTAAAAGGTAAAAGAGGAAAAACAAAAAGGTCCTGTCTAGCAGGGCTGGGGAATTGACACTTAATTTATAGTAGCTGAGATGCAGGCAGAGCTCTGTTTTGATCTGACCAGAGTTGAGGTTCCTTATGGTCCCAGCGACCCAATATTTGCTTGTACCCTTAGGGTTAGAATATCCCTTAAGCGTCAGTCAAGCTTCAGAAGTAGGAGATCACAAGGGGCAATGCTTCCATCCTCATGTTTAGTGCCTAAGCCCCAACACAGAAGTGTGTGCATTGGATTTGGTAAGGAGAAAATGAAGAGAAGAAAAAGAAAAAATACATTAAAAAAGAAAGACCAGAGAGAAAAATAACAATGTTTCCTGTTTGTTATGATCCTGGACATCTGCTCTCTTTCTCTGGTTTCTGGAATTCTTCAAGATCTTGTGTGATTTTTCTAATAAAAGATTCACTTGTTCCTCTAATTACAGGTGCCGATTCCAAGGTTAGACAGTTAAAGATTACTGAACCACTTATCTGCCATGAACAGACTTATCAATGTGGAACAGAGAGACAAATCGATAAGGAGCAAGCTTGTTGCCATGGAGAGGGATATTTAAGGTCAACACGGACAATCCGAAAGGCTTGTACCCTCGTGCTCAGAGTCACAATTGAAAAGTAATTGGAGCCTCAAGTAAACCAAGTTTTCAAAGTCTACCAAGTCTGCCCTCAGGGGTTGCTATTACAGAGGCGGGTTTCAACCCAAATTGACAAAAGAGAAGCAGCATTAATGCGAGACACAAGGCTACCTCTGACGAAAGAAGCACAAGAGACCCTCACCAACGAATTATGCTTTTAAATCACCCAGCAAGGGAAGGTCTCCTTCTGTCACAGCCCAAACCAAAGAAACTAAAGATTTATTAACAGGCCGACTAAGACACGAACTAAATGTGTGATGAATTTTCAGTTTATATTGGTTTAGGCACGAGTACCAACATTTTAATAATATGCTTCAAAGCCACACATTTTAAAAACGATTTGGCATAAACGAAATAAAATATAAAACTGAAAGTAATTAGATGCACATTGCCGAGATATTGCATGAAAGAAGAGCATCTTTTCGAGTCTAGATCATTCTGTCTAGTTATGTATATGTCAGAGGGCAGGACCTTGAGGCTGAGACCATCCATTTAGCAGAGGTGGAGTGGGGACAGCACAGGGCAGGGCTGGGGCTCTGCATCAGGGTGACTCGGTCTCTGAATCCTTGTCTTGTCCGCGGTGGCTGTCACTTAGTCACGCACCTCTTGGATTCTGTGATGTTGAGGGACTGCAGCTATTTCACTCCCTCGACTTAGGAGTTTTGAATGGACCCTCTGCCTTTTGAATTTTAGCAAAAAACTGAAGCACATTCCTTTTAGCAGGGAGTAGACTGATAGAGAGCTCAACACATTGGTTAGAAATCACTTGGAAAAGAACATAGGCTCTGGATTAGGTCTCAAGGGGCTCCCCAAAGTGATGGTGCATTAGCCTGGACTCAGAGGTGTTTGTTTTGGCCGCTGAGAAGTCTTTTTGGGGGTGTTTGTTAAATGTTACTACCCCATCTGTGTTCTCAGGGGTTGAGCTTGCTTGTCTTGGTTCTCTCTGGGTCAAAGGCATGTTGTTTGAGCATTACACAAGCATTTATTTAGAGTCGCTACGTGCCTGGCCTGTTCTCAGAGCTGGGGTCCAGCTGTCAGCAACAACCAAGGTCTCTACCTTCGTGGAAAGATCAGCGCAATAATACACAGACAGATAAATGAGGAAACGGGCGGTGGCGGCTGCTCTCTGAGGGGGACTGGTGGAGGGTCGTGGGGCCTCCTGCTGCTAGTGGGCATCTCCAGGGCTGGCACGGTTTACTTTGCCCCATTCTGGTGCCACTGCATGGGAGGGGCCACCCCTGGGCTTGGGGTCAGAGCACCTGGTCCTGGCCACGGACCTGGTGCCCCTGGGGCCATTCGTTTTGTGACCTCAGGAGACCCACATGGCAAATTTGGTCTGGAGTTTACTCATTTCTGTTCTGGAGACAAAGATGCTTCTTGTCAGGGTCGTGGTTATAAAATGAGTTGAGGTAGGTGGAGCACAGAGGACATAATAGATGCTCAAAAAACCGACAGGGGTTGATGTGCGTTTTTGTAATGCCATCGCTGTATTCCACTGCTGGCTTTGCTGGAATTCTAACAGTTTTCCTGCCTGTATCATCTCTAGAAAGGTACCCTCGTGACATTCCATGTTGTCTTTTAGCTTTCTTTATTTCCCAGGTGTGGTAAGCCGAGCAGTGACTACCTGAAGACAACCTCCCACCACCATCCTAACCCCGAGCATCTGTAAATATGCTACTTTATATGGCAGAGGGATTCAAGATGGGGAAAGTGTCCTGGATTCATTAGCTAATATAATCCCGAGGATCCTCATTAGAGGCGGGCAGGAGCGTTGAAAGGACAGAAGCAGAAAGAAACATCGGTTGGAGAAGACACTATTTGATGGCTAAGAAGATGAGGCAAGGGAGGAAGGTGGGGCAGCCAAGAAATGCAGGAGGCCTCTAGAAGCCAGAGGGAAACCTCCTCCCTGAGCTGCAGAGGGAGCCCAGCCGTGTGAGCCCATCCTAGACTTGTGACCTCCATAACTGTCAGCATCCATAATACCTGTGTTGCTTTAAGTGACCAAGTTGGTGCTACTTTGTAACAGCACCAATAGGAGCAACAAGGGGACCTTGAGTCACAGAGACAGCAAGAGGAGGGGCTCTGGGATGGTAAAAATGATGGTTTCTGAAGCTGGAGTCCTCCACTTACTGACTTCGTGACCTTGGGAAAATGACAGGGTCGCTGTGACTCCGTATGCCTCCAAGAGGACAGGATGCAGGGTAGCATGCACGTGAAATACTAGGCAGCTCGTGGAAAGCACGGTTATGATGACTCCTTCCAACAGGGAAAATATTTGCAATACCCAGGAAAAAAATTGTGAGACAAAACTATCTTTGGTGTGAACATAAATGCACATAAGGACCATGCAGGATGTTTATGGGGCTTTGGCGCATGGCAAGTGCCCCTACGTGGAAGCTGCCATGGATGTGAATGAGTCTCAGCGAGAGGACGTCACTGTCCCCCTGGGAGAGCGGAAGATGAACGAACGGTTGTCCCGTGGGTCCTGGCAGAAACTCACCAGCTCATAGTTCAACGGTGCGAAAGGATGGCTTTCCTAGTGTAAGTTCATTTCCAGAGGGAGTTTCTTTTAACAGGGACAGTGGAGTCTCTTTCTCTTCCCTTCCTAGGTGGGGAGGGGGTGCATGTGGATGAGGGGGTGCATGTGGATGAGGGGGAGCGTGTGGATGAGGGGGTTAAGAGGCCTGGGTGTTTTTTAAAGCCCTGTTTTGTCTCTGGATTGGGATTCAGAAGTTGTTGAAGCTATGGTGTTGAAGCTATGGCAGCCAAAAATGTTGTCCTTGACCTTTCTGCAATTCTGTTTATCTCTGCTTCATCATAGGCTGCCTGCTTTCCGTTTTGCAAAAAAAAGTTAATCCCCTGATAATTCTGAAAAACAGGGAGGAAGCACGTTCGTGTGAAACTGTTGTGATTTCCTAAATTAATCCAGTTGGGATAATCCGTCCTTCAATGAAATATTTGAAAACACAGAAGACTTGCCATTTGCGTGATTTGCCTAAGGAAACACTCCTTAAGTCAATAAATAAAATATCTGCATAGAAAGCTGTCCGTTGCAGCAATTTTAAAACTAGCAAAAATTAATTGGAATCAGCAGATACGGAGGACAACAGGGGACTGGGCAGTGCCCTGTGGTGGAGTCGCTCCGTGCAGCGGGTTGAACGTGTGGTTTGACTTCCCCATAATTGGGGAAATATTAGCATTGTACTGCTCAGAGACAAATCGAGAGAGCAAATTACGTTCAGTGTCAACATAATGCACAGGAAGATCGTAACTCACACATTAACAGCAGAGCAGGAAATATACCAGAATCCTGATAACCGTTATGTTAAGCCAGTGGAATTAGGAGTTTTTTCCTTCTCTCTGTACTCAAATGTTTAGTAGTATAGTTATTTACATACACAAGGAAAAATTGGTTAAAAAAAACAGAGCACAATAAACTTAAACTTCAAAACCGTGCGGAAGACTCCAAGGCAATGACACACACACATCCAGGCTGCTAAATGAAAATGCCAGATGGGATTTCATCGCCTGGTGTGGTGCTGATGGCAAGAAAATGGGATGAGACATCTTGGCCATTAGCACTTAGCAGGGCCCAAGGAGATGGTTTAGCACACACATGTATGCATGTGGACACACAGACACACACACACACACACACACACACACACACACTCCTTCTTCCTTGCTTCAAGTCAACTGATTTGGTTTCATGAAACACAAGTTTCTCTTTCTGTTCTGGTCACATCAATAGCTTCCATTCTAGCTCAGGGGCTGTGGAGAAGGAACTAGTGTCTTTCACCCGTGCAGGGCTACTCTGGCTGGTGCAAGCCCTGAGCCAGGGCCTAGCCTCACTGTCTCCCTTTCTCCCACAGGTGTGCGACCTGGGTCCTAGCACAGATTTTATGAGGTGGTTAGGACAGTGGATCCTGGTTGAGCAGAGGCAGGTTCAGACCCTGGGCTGTTGGATTCTGCAGTTAATGATCTCAAACACGAACTCCAGCTAACTCCAGGACCGCACGCTGATTCTGCAGAATGCCCTATTTTTACAAGATGCAACGGTGCCTCCCCTACATCTGTAGTTCCCTACGTGGCTGTGCATGGGGAGTTGTTAAGTTAGTCTAGTTTGAGTTGGCAGTACACAGTGATGTTTGAACAGTTCATCAATAAAAAGCCTCTGTAGTGAAAATAAACCTTTCTTTTGCCTCCACTTTGTCTTCCCCAAGAAAACCACCATTTAAACGGGGAACCCAGGGCCTCCCCGGTGGCGCAGTGGTTGAGCGCTGGGTTGCGAAGCTGCCCGCAGCCTCTGCAGTGCCGGTTCGTTCCCTGGCTGCTCCCAGGCCACCGGAGGAGGGTCCCACATGGCGCGCAGACCTCTCCTGCCGCCCGCTGCTCCCCTCAGCAGTGTACTTCAGTCCTTCTGCCTGCTCTGCTCCCCGCTCTGGCTCTGGTGAATTCTCTCACCCTCCCGTGCTTCTGACTGTACCCAGTGCTTGTATAAATAAATAAATAATTAAATAAACAAACAAACAAATAAATAAATCTTTAAAAAAATAAATAAACGGGGAACCCTACATAAAGGCAGGTACTCCCTGGTATTCATTCTCAAGTGTTAATGACTTAGCACCCCTAGTAGCCCAGGGACCTGGACTTTTAGCAAGATTCCCAGGTAATCTGGATGCAGGATCTAGGACTGAGGGCTGTTGTTGAATAAATCCCCAGCAAATTCTCACTGTTTATGTCAACAATACTTTAGGAATGTAGATGTTTGATAAAATGACTTTACCTTTTTCTGGTTTTGCACAAGCAACG